AAGAGTCCGATAAGGGCGCCTGCGAGTCGGCGACAGAAACACGGAGCAATTTGACGGCTCAGACAGGCCCTCCGGTCCTCAGGCGGTCCCGCGGAGACTTCGTCAGGCAAGCTGGCTCTGAGATATGATGGGGGTCGGAGTGAGGAGACATCGATGTCGAGGCTTCGGAAGGCACCGGCGACTTCTCTGGGCTCTCCAGCGAGGGCAGCTCTTCGGTGAAATGCCCGATGGGCGAAGGCATCAGCGTGTCGGGCTGGGCGAGACGAGCCAACGCGGAGGGATATGCAGTATCGCTGGAGAGAGCGTCGAAGGGTGTTGGCTCGGTGACGTTAACGGGAGCATCGTTCACCTCAGAGCAGGAACGTCTTCCGAAGCGGCTTCGTGTACGTTCTCGTTGGCTGACTGGTCGGAAGTAGCTTGCGCCATTGTCTGTCAGGGAATCTTGGGGACAGCGACAGTTACTTACACCGTTGATGGAGGGCGGGCGCGGTCATCGACGGTAGCTTCTTCAGCGGAAACAGGTTCGTCCACCTTCGCGTCCGCGTCCTCCTCTCGACCCTCTCTGGCTCGCGCTCGCCGCATCCTTCCTGGTTTTCCTCACAGCATCATATCAATAGCTCTCCATCTCATCGAGCCTATCAAGGATCAAGGAGTAATCCGAGCGCGTGCATATACTGATGCAGAGATCGGTTGTTCGCCGTGTACGCGAAGGTGTCCTTGCCCGCTAACCACTCGACCACTCCAGAGCGGGCGAGTACATCAAAACTGATTAAGAGGGATATTGAGACCCAGGTGTTCCATGAGAAGGAAATCGGACGAGAGCGAGGCGAGACGCGGATGTTAGCGATCTCGTCGAGGGAGGAGAGCAACACGAAGTTAGGCGAGGGCCTGAAACGGAACCCCTCACATGACCTTTCCAATGTCCGTGATCCGTCGTCCAAATCAAGAATGTGCCCCTTATCGAGTTGCTCGGATTCACTCGACGCGACAGCCCGGCTGATTCAGGAGGAGCTTGCCAAGAAAACGGGTATTTGACACTGGATGCTGATCCGCTTCCCGCCAGGCAACCTCGACGAAGGCACGTCCTTCGAACCTCGGGGGCTGAACGTTGAACGTTGAACAATGAGACGTTCATCGCGGAGGCACTGGCAACGCAATACGCACACCTCAGCAACGATAGCATCAGCGAGATCCTCGAATATTGCCCCGATGACCCGTCGATCGGATGCCTCATGACACCGGCGACGGTATTCTCTCCACCGGGACGCAAGACAAGCTGGCGCTGAGCATCTGGAGTGATATCTACATGCACGCGGGGGTATGCAATCTCGTTTCTTCCTCATTTGTGGGCGTCGAGACGAGTGTCTACGGCGCCGGCTCACAGCGGAGAGCGCGGCAGCAGCGTATGACGTCTATTCGTGCAAGTACATGACAATTCGACGGTCAAGTATGGTGTGACGCACTTCCAAGAGGTTGACTTCGTGTTCAAGAACCCGCTTCTGACGCAGAACCTACTCTCCACTTTTCCCGGCGACGCTGAGATTATGAACCTTGGACCCTATTCACAGGGGGGTCGATGGTGTCCCACGATTGCCGAGCTATCGCCATCAACAAAAGAACGTGGGGTTCAAGCACCAGGGAAGCTACACGAGGACGAAGATTACCGCGCTGAGGCATCGCTTTGTGAGCACGGTTCAAACCGGATATAACCTGAGATGGATCGCTGACCAGCTATCTCTCCTGGTCGTCAGCATCGACACCCCCGAGGACGAACTGCAAGATTGAAGTCTAGCTGGACACTCTTCTTTACGGACGAACGATGCGGTACTCGTACAGGCATCATATGATCATAATTTTCGCGATCTCTCTTCCGGAGCTTGCGACTACATTTGCCTGGGAGCCTCTCCGCGACTCAGTGAGCCAAAGAAAACGCGATGTCATTCTCGCTTCCCGCCTCTTTACGCGATCTCGTAAGTGCATTCCGTTATCGTTCTCAGTAGAGTGAATTGGGATCGCCTTGGATGATGTTCGCTTCAGATGCCCGTTTTAGGGGGCAAAGGTCTACGGCCGTTTATACCCAACCGCTGCTGCTAAGATCAGTTCATGCCGTATGGCCGTGCCATTGACGCTTTATGCCAGAAGTCTGATCACACCCCGATTGGTGTATCTTTGACTCGATCTAGGTAGCATTGTTCTCAGATAACCTTCTATGGAATGGTGCCACCCGTGCGCGCCATTGCTGGACGGGCTCGGCCCTATCTTTCCTCCGTGATTATAACTCCCTATGCAGAGTGCAAACGAGGCAGCGCCTAGATGCATATGTTAACTAACTCAGATATCCTCATATTATCAGCGCATCGGCGAAGGACTCAATCAATCACATTCACCCAGAAGAGGAGTCGGACACAACGTCAAGATGTCATATTGTATCGTAACGGCATGCACCACATTATGTATAAGATGAAAACCGGCTAATGAGACTGAGTGAGATCTCTATGCTCAACCTCGGCATCGCGAGGCTCGTACGGTCACATGCCTATGGTCATGCCACCGGTTCGGACACATCCTAGCCCCGGTACTCATATTTGATACAGATACAGAGGGTCGGTGCCATCATTCGACCGGTGGAGGATCGGAGCAAGATGATAGAGATATCAAAATGAAACACGGCGAACTCATGGTCTTTGTCGTAACTCTCTCTTAGAATT